AACGAAACATAGAATATTTTTTTCAATTCTTACGATCCAAAGCAATTATTGTTTGTAGCTCATTAAACTATCTTCAATAACATTGCGAATTAGCACAAACACTAATTAGTAGCGATTCCTAGTACACAACTATATAAAGTTCCATTAGCAGTCAGTCAAAAAGGAAATTGAATAAATGGATAATGAAACTTAATTGGATTTCAAAAATAATTTCACGTACAAATCTTGCGTTCATAATTTCTAGCATGCAGAAAGTGACAATTACGAATTAATCATAAAATCTCGCGTAATGAAAATGCAATTTAGGCCAATTTTGGCTTTGTAGTATATAATTGAATGTCTTAATATTTATTAATTTCAATTGAAGGAAGTTCAAACTCGGAGACTTCGTAACTCACTGCTTTCACAGCTTTGTATGATTGATAATGCAGAGATACAACTGCAAGTGAAAAGAGTAGAAGTAACACTCGAACTTAAGTAGCATCTATATGCATTCCTATGACATATCATTCTTGTTTCAGCATTCAATTGAAAGCTCATCCGCTCCTTTCACTGCCAAAATATTTGGCGTAATTGCGTGGATCAGCGCTTAACGTAGCAGAAAGTTATGAATACTGTCAAGCTATTCACATTGAGAATCGAAACTTGACAAAAAATGTTTTATTTCAGTCCTAAAGTGCTTAAAAAATTTAAAGACAGAGTAAAGTACACGTATTTCAAACACAAAAAAAGCAGCGCATGGACAACTTTCAGTGAAGATAAAAACAAGTCACTCCGTGAAAATCACACGAAAGTCCATTTAAAGCGACCTCTACAGTCTTTTGCTTTCACTTAAAGCGTTCGTTTGTTACAACATTTTCAAGTAGCAAAACAAAGTGAGTAAGAATCTGCACTTTGATACTATTCTTAATATTTTACAAAGTCAGAATACATCAATCCACATTGACACAAATTGCGTGATTGCTTTACATTGTAGTTAATATCATTGTCTTATGTTTAGCGATTAATCATCGAGACGAAAACAAAAACAAAACAAGTAAGGATCGTAACGCTTGCACTTCAATTCATCGCCCAGATAATAAAAAATACAATAAATTCAACAGTGATCTACAAAACAAAATACACGGTTACAGAAACTTACATGCGAAATTCCAGTCACTACCGAAGAAATAATTAGTCTTAAGTGGAAACAGTGTTGGAATAACTACAGAATCAGATAGCAGCGTATTTAAATTTACATCGAGCTTGTAGAACTATGATAGTGAATTAATTCAGCAATAAGCAAAATTAATGAGGTAAATTCTTGTAATTTAATTATTTTACTTTCTCTAATTGGTAAAATTAGCGATATTTTAGGCAGAATTTTACAAACAACTTTTTAATGTCAACTTAAAACTTTTAATAATTGAAACCTAAAAAAGCCACTGCATTCAATTTGTTTGTATTTTAACAATAAGCAAATTAATTTAGCCGGAAATGAAACAAAAACTTGAATTATTTCAATTTAGCAACTGCGCAGCGAACTTCCATTAATGCTTCAGTCTCGGCATCGTCCAAATTTTGCATTGTTTCGACTTTATGCAAATACTTCAAAGCCAACTCTCTCTGCTTTAATATTACATAGCAACGAGTGACATATAATAAATTCTCAGGCCATATAAACGGAGCATACTTTTCAGCCTGAAAAAGCAAAATAGTTTTGGTTTTTGAACAAATATTTAATAATTATATTATTTGATAGATCTGACAGATCAATCACATATTATAATTCTAAAAAATCAACATCCAATTCTTTGTAAATTATGACAACAAACTGGAAGCGAAGCGAAGCACAGCAAATATGAATATCGGATTGTGCACACATCGCAATTTAAAAATTTGTAAAGGAAACCTCCAAGAAATCAGCTAAAGCATCATTAATATTCGTATCAGGGATTCTTGAAAATAACGTGTTGCATAATTTCTTTTCCAACCACGAAAGATTTGCAATTTCAAAAGTGAAGCGCCCTCTTGAATGCAACAGTGAATACTCGTTAGGTTGTTGGTCTATTGCACGATCGAGATAGGCCTGAAGAAAAAGTTAGGAACTGAGTTCAAATAATATTCAAATTTCATCAGTTATACAGCAACAAATTATGGATCGTAGCAAGTAATTTAATCGTCAAATACGCAACTTTTGCAGAAATAAAATTAAAATTAATCCAAGAAGAGCAAAATATTGTCACATCAATATTTTAGACGCTCGCGTCAGCAAAGAGTTAATTACAGTATTTTGTGAAATAAATTCAGACTTACGTCTATTATAAACGTAATTAGAAAAAAGATGCAGTAAAGAGCTAAGTTTAATTTAAATTAAAGTGAAAAAATGCAAAAAAACAACCTTGAAAATTTTGCCCTGTTCAATTTTTTCTTTTGGTCCCATGAAATCCGTTGCAGAGCCGATTAATATTGCCATCCATCTGAGTGCTTCAAAGTCATTTTCGTCAATTGCATAGGCTTTTGAAGCATAACTTCTTCCTAAAATTACTAATTCAATACTTGCGCGAAAGAGTCCAGTTATAAAATTGGGCATAAATAGTGTTCTTACTTCAATCATTAATCATCATTTATTCATATTTGTGAAACAAATGCTTATCTTCACTAATTCAAATATTTCATTTACTTTTAAATATCAATCTGATTTAAGACACTTTTAAAAGGTCAAATGTGAACTTCAACTTACTATTTTTCTCTCAATAAACTCAGAATCTAAATACTAATAAGATGGAAAATTGAAAACCAAAAGAATGTATTGTAATCGCTCACGTAATATTTGGCAGAAACAGGCCAAAAATAAAAGACCAAATGCTA